CAAGACCCTCAGTCAATGCCTTTCAATATAGTGCTTTAAAGAGGGCAAACTTTACTAATATTTAGATATAGATATACACGTGTTAATTGTGATGACTAAGTCATCACCAACAAAAATTTTCTGTAAACTCAGAATAAGAAAAGAGGTCTATTTCTTAAAGCTAGTATTTTATGTCAAATTCATGTTTTATCTGAAAATGAATTCTGTCCTAAAGAGGACTCATTGACAATTCATTTTCTGATAAAATTAGTGTGATGAGGAACTCGCACTTTCCATTCCCTTACCGTACCTTCCTTACATTCTTTACTCTTTTCTTATACACTCTTTTTTTTTAATTTATTATATATGACACATAATTAAAAACTTGGTTTCCCAGTAATTCTAGTGTTTACCTAGCACTCATGCAGCTGAAGTCAGTCTATTTTTTATGATTTATTTTATTTATTTATACATACATGAGCTGGGGTGAAAGCCAGAGGTGCAGAGGGGTGAGAGGATTCACCAGAGACAGAGCAGGAAGCAGAACAGGTGCCTCAACTGAAATACACTGCTGAGAGGATCAACAGTTGGGACAGGAGAAGTCTGCTGCACCATGTGGGTCAGCTCCTCCGGAGAGGAATCAAACCGGTGCTGCAGTGGCTATCAGTAACTTCATAGTGTTGAGACTTAACCCCTTGCACCACTAGGGTGGCCCTTGTGTGATAGATTTTAACTAAAAAAAATAAAGGACGTATAGTTGTGCAGAGTAACTCATACTAAAGTCAGGATCTATCTGTGTACTCTGAAGATAAATTCAACTCCCTCATGAATTTAAGTAACACTTTGTGAATCTCACCAGTCATGTGGTTTGAACCAGTTGCTTTACTTTAATTCAGTTTTTGTATAGGTGATATTTTGTTATGTAGTAAAGATGTAGCTTATTCTGCCCTTTAGAATGTATTGGGATATTGTGTCTTTCACCTACCTTTCTTTTTATATTTTATTACATGTTCATATTCTAAGCTCTTCATACATACATACAGATATGTTCACTGTCAGAAATATTGAAATAATTGCAGACTACCCTCGAGGACCTTAGCTTCTAGGAAAAAGTTTGCAATCTGATTTTGTTGCCTGTGTAGGAAATAGTCAAGTTTCATCTTGCTGTGAACTTTTTATTGCTTAAAACAGATGGAATTGTTCTTTTTTACCTTAAACTTTCTACAAAATATATGCCCTCCTCTTCACCTTGAAACATCTTCCTTTCAAAGGATTCCTAGCAATTTCTGAAACAGTATAAAGTCAATAATGTAACGAGAATAAGGCAAAGATACTCAGAGAATAAGAAACTGAAGCCAAATGAGTTAGATCTCACCAATTAGCATAGTCAATATACTCAAGTCATAGAAATCATTATGTAATGGATGAATTGTTCTACACTGCATTCCTCTGGTCATCTCTGCTACCAAATATCCTGTTATACCTGCACACATAAAAAGTAGTATTTTCTTGCCTATTTGCAGGAATATATCTGATATTTTTCATTTAGCATTTTTCAAACAGTCTCCACCCCTATTCCCTCAAGGAACTGGCTTGTTTCTTACAAAGGCAGTATTTAGCTTTAAAACCCAAATTAATTTATCATTCACTTTAAAACAGATATGCCTATATTACACATCAAAAAGATAGCACAAAGCACCCAACTTGAAAGAAAAATCAAATCATTATCTGATAATGTGTTTATAACACTGTATTATAACATGAAAATTTGCAAAGACAAAGTTGAAGTTAAACATGAAAACTTAGAGAAAAGGTATTGCAAGCAGCAGAAATTTGAAGGTTTTTTTGTTTGGAAAAAATAAAAACAGGTAGTTTGAAAAGGTATGCCATGCTATTAACTATATTTAACATAATGTATATATTATGCCCACAAAATGTAAGTTACTTATGTTTTGTCTAAATTTAACATAGCTGTGAACTCCTAAAATAACTGTGAAGACTGCAGTGGGTCATATGTAAATGAGTAAATTATATCTTCCAAATTAGCAAAACATTCTACAAAGTTACTTTACGGCTGCTGCTGCTAGTGTTTAAAGTTGGAAAATTCTGCCTTTTAACTTACACTATGCTAATAAACACTACTCTAATAAACACTTCAAGAGACCTGCTCATTATAACTTTTAATTTCTTCAGCTATCATTGGTACATCTAAAAAGTGGAAGACTTTCTGACATGAGTTCATACAATGTGGCACAATATTTTCATCCACAAAATTTGCATAATTGGCCTTAATTCGATATATATATTCTGAATTTTGAAGTGAAATAAATATGCTTAATGTAAAAAAAAATATCTTTAAGTGTAATAGCATTTCTATTATTCACTGGCTAATAATAGTTCTATACTGCTGATCTATTTCATAAACTATTCAGAAATACAAAATTCTGAAGGAGAAAGACAGTAATTTACCTTCATTAAAAATAAAGAAACTGGGCCCTCCCTGGTGGCACAGCGTGTTAAAGCACACACTAAGAAGCTAAAAGCCACTTCAGCATGAGTTCAATTCCTGTCCTGGAGGTGATCCACATGGCAGATCTCCCCTGACCCACCCACTGCTCCCTCAGCAGTGTACTTCATCAATCTGCCTGTTCTGCTCCCCACTCTGTTTCTGGTGAATCCTCTCACCACCCCTGCACTTCTGGGCTGTACCCCAGTTCTGTATGCATAAATAAAGAAATCTTTAAGAAAGAAAGAAACTGAGTCTTAAAGTGTTATTTTCTTGCCTATATTCAAAGTGAAGTTGGGAAGCAGTGTCGTATTTTTTATTTGGCTTTAAAGGTTGAAGTTAATCCTGGTATATCATCTTCTGTAAATCTTGCTTTGTTTTCTAATATTTACAAAAAATCCCCAAGGTTCAAAATACAATGTTTATATATAAACTCAGCAATTTTTTTAACTTTTTCCAATTGAAGCTTCTTTCTGAGTCTACTTTCCCCGTAAGTGCCTAGTACAAGAATTTTCTTGAATTCCATGCACCAAACACTGTTCATAATAATTCATGCTAGTTCTCAAACAGTAGATAACCTTAGACTGGGGGGGGGGGTTATCAATTCAGACTTTTTTTCTGCAGTGGCCCATTAGAATTCTCACTCACAAAACACAGGATAGGTAGAGTCCAGATAGTCCAACAAAGAACTCAGTTGTAAAAATGACAATAAATAATAATAATAAAATACTAGAGTACTTCTAGACAAAGCAGCACTATATTTGGATTACAGTATCACCACTAAATGTGAGATTTAGTGGAAATAGAGAGGAGTGATGATTATGATTCTGAAAATGGAGATCTTTCCAGCTTAGGTATTTTGATGTCCTTTCAACCTATCACGTAAAAAGCTGTGTTAAATTATATGTAGGTTTATACCAAAATAATCTGGTATGGTATAGTTTATTTATGTTATGGAAATAATCATAGTACAGTAGCAACCCAGGCAGCAGGCAACTTTTTCCTCAAAATGGTTAAATCATCTTAAGTGCTTAAACCACATTATTTTACTAAGACTCACCTAAAAAATACCAAAAACTGGATATCTTAACTAACAGAATCTTGTTCTCACAGTTCTGGAGTTTAGTCATCCAAAATCAAGGTGTCAGCAGATTTCTTCTGAGACCTCTCTTTAGCTTTCAGATGTCTTCACTCTTGCTACTTACTCACATGTTCTTTCCTCTATTCTGAGATTTCTCTCTGCCCTAATTTCTTTTTCTTATAAAAGACCAGTCAAATTGGATTAGGACCTATCCTAACAGTCTCAGTCCAAATTAATCACCACTGTCAAGCCACTATCTCTCCAGGCACAGTCAAAATCTGTGGTCCTAGCCATAGAGATTGAATTTATGAATCTGGGAGCCACAATTCAACTTTTAACGTCCAGTGCATTTGAGTTGATTCATATTTTGTCCTATTTCCTACTTTCTCCGTGGCCTAACTCACTGCTACCACACAGCCTCTTTCTCTGCCCTATTCCCTATGTGACCTGAAAATTATTCTCTTTAGCAAATCTGATAATCTAAAATCTTGTTGAGGATCAGCTTGCATTTTGATGTTTCTAGGTAACACATTTCTGTAAATATGAAGGCAAGAGAGTTTGGTGTCTTTACAGATATTTCTGGAATGTAGCCCAACTGAGAATGGAGGTCTTTCCAGTTAGGTATTTTGATGTCCTTTCAACCTTTCCTCTAGAAAACTGCTGAATTATATGTAGGATTAGACTGAAATGATATGTGATTTTATGAGAATCTGATTTTTAACTTTTCCTTTATTCTGAAAAATAATGACATTGTAATCTGTTATATGAAAACTTATAGCTGAAAATTGGTGTCAACTTTTCTGTGTATCCTTCTTTTAGCTTTGAAATTTTTCAAACAAGTGTGTTCTGCTTCCCGTCCTTGCTGTCAACTTTAGTGATGAAAAAGAACTTTTCCTCACTGTTTGCTTAACTTCTTTCTCTGCAGAGAGAATTTCACCCAGAAAAAAAAATTCAGGAATTATTAATGCAGTATTTCTTTTTGAGTCTGACATTCTTTAAGGTTGTGCATTTCTTGTTAAATTATTATCAAGTCTCCATAACTGACTCTGCTCTCTATTAGACCCTTTGGCTGCAAGACATTTCTAAAACACACTGTGGAGGAAATCCAATAAAGATGGGCCCATAGGTCAACCTGATAATAATCCTTTAGGAATGCCTATGGGGAGTGCATGTATTTTTCCTTTTGAAAAAATTGAATTAAATTAATCTTTCATATCCAATTTTAAATCTTGTTTCATATTTGTATTTCATTCAAAGCAGTTTCATTAACAGTTTTATAAAAGAAATGGAATTTGTGCTTTCAGTTTTATCATCAAGGATTAACAGACCTTTAATAGTGAAAAAGTCTTCCCATAATTTTTATTTAATATGAAAGAAAATTTCTACCAGATTGTCAGTTTTTCTTGCTTTGGTCCAATGTGTTGGTATTTACAGGGATGAAGAACCAGGAGGCCAGCTGGTTACAGATAAGTTCCATATTGACTGGGATTCAGTACTACTGGACACGGATAATGTCATCATAGCACGATTTGATGGCAGAGGAAGTGGATTCCAGGGTCTGAAAGTTTTGCAGGAGATTCATCGAAGGTTAGGTTCAGTGGAAGTAAAGGACCAAATAGCAGCTGTGAAGTAAGTGGGCGCACATTTCCCTATTGTTCATGACAGAAGCTACATGTAGAATAATAGTGATGCTGACTCAAAGATTTTTATTTTAGTGATTGGTTAATTATCTAACTTCATCATTTAAACAAAGGCATTTTCTTCAATTACCTTTCACTCTAGGAGCCATAATAAAAGAATTATCATACTTCCCCTGTGGAATTAGAATTCACTCTGGATTTATGAAAATGGAGAAACTTTAATTAAACTATATATTATTTATTTACTGTAATCTGTAATGTCTATTTCCCTAGTTAATTAACAGTTCTTGAGTTTTTGTAGATATTATTATCTGGCATGAAAGGATTACCTGAGAAAGCTAGTAGGGTCTTTAAAATAGTTCATATAAATTGGCTAATCTACTAAAACATAGATGATTCAGTATTTGTGCAAGGTACCAGGAGGTAGCAAAACTATTGTACCATCATTTCAAGTAGTAAGATTTTGAATATATAATATAAAGTATTTCCTTCAAGTATTATAAACTATTTCCTTCTATGTAAAGTATCTCCTTCAAGTATTTCTAATCTGATTTATGTGCTATTTTGCTTGCTTTGAATGTCAAGAATGAATTCCCCTGTGCATTTGACTCCAGCTATAACTGCTTTTATCTTTTTCATTGTAGATTTTTGCTTAAACAGCCATACATTGACTCCAAAAGACTAAGCATATATGGAAAGGTAAATTGTGGAGATGTTGTGAATATGTACATATGTGTGTGCTATGTATATTTAATTATTCCCTCATTCATATGTAATTATTTCTTCATTTTACTATAATTTTCTCTGTATTTTTCTTTAAATGTACTCATATAAATAATATTACATATATTCAATTATTAATTCAGCAACAATTAATTGAGTATCTAATTGGTTCCTAATAGTGTAAATGAACCAACAATGTACATTGCTCTATATATGAAGCATCTCTTCTTGAAAGGTGAAAAGGATCATGAACAAAAAAAAAAAAAATTAAAAAAAAAACAGTTTTATACATTAATAATTCTTATTAGGACAGCAAAACATTCAGTGGATTAACTCCAGGAAAGGCCAATGTTACTAAATTAAGTGGTCAAGTAAGTCCTTCTGATTAAGTGATAGGTAAATGGTTATCTACATAGCAATAAATAACCAGGGTTACTAATCGCTTGAAGGAGCTCTCCCAGAAGGAGTAGCAGGCACAATAACTTCAGGGAGCACCTGCTTGACTTTAAAACTGAAAGATGATCCAGTGTGCATAATCATGTTTTCTGTGCTTTCTGCAAGATATTTACTCTTAACTGAAATAATTTTTATGTCAATTTCAGTATCATTTTCGCAGTAGCAAAATAGGCTTCATATAGGTATTTAGTGAGCACCTAGTTTCTGCATCTCACAGGATTAAGCATGTAAACTCACTAGATCAGTGGGAGGAGAACTTAAAACTATTTTAGCTAGAGACAAAGCAAATTCTTGATGTTCATGAACTTCAAAAAAATATTTTATTTTTTATAAGTGAGTGCATATATAGCATAAAGTAACTGCTATTTTATTTTTAGGGCATAAATATGAGTGATGTACACTGAGAATTAGGACATGAAAAACTACTTAATAAACACAACTTTTTAAGTAAAATCTAAATCAGCACAAACCACTGCTCTTCTCACACTTAAGATATCTGCAGTATACCAGCCTCTACTGTTGTTTTTTGTCAGTAATGTTTAGAGAATCAATACAAATACTCTCCCCCAAAATTAGCTCAGACAAATAAGTTTGGGGGTTCTGGGATGCCCACTGATCTCACAGTAAAGACATTAAAATTTTTTTAAAGATCTAGGAAAGTGTGTCACAAATGGAAACTCTGGATACATTTTAAAAATGCACACAGTGAGAGTTTTTCCCATATCACAGCATGAATGAAGCTTAAAGACAGGGAGCACAATTAAGGCCCTCAGTCAGAGGGGACTAGCACATTGTGACCCATTTAAATGAGATATGTGGGGGCGATCATGTTTCTGGAGACAGAAAGGAATAGTAGTTGCCAGAGCCTGGGTCAGGAAAAGTATTTGTTTCATGGAAGTAGAATTTCAGATTCACAGGATGTAAAGATTTTGGAGATCAGTTTCATACAATGTAATGATATTGATGCTACTGAACTATGGTTTTAAGTGATTAAGGTGCTAATGGGTTTTTTTTACTGCATATACACAAAAAAGCATGTAAGAAAGAACAGTTAACACCTGAATGGTCCTGATATATGTAACATTTGATAAAACAATTTGGGACTGTCAGAATTCAGTGTAAATGTTGTGATTCATGGCAGGAGAGCAGGATTTTACCATCTTTGATCAACTTATTTGCTTTACATGCATCAGTATTTGACTCAGTCTACACATCAGGCATTTTCTCCTTTTGGTGGGAAAGTCACCTTGTTTTTATCATAGATACATCTATATTTTCATTTATATCCAGCTTATTTGCTGAAAATTCTGAGGGACATTTTACTCTTGGTTTTAAAGCTGAAACAGTAAACTTATAATTGGTTGGGTTTTTTTCTTTCTTTCTTCTTAACATATAATTTGTTCCAGTTAAATCTTTCAGAATTAGGAAAGCAATTTTGTATTCTCTAAGCATGCAAACTGTTTAACAATTAGAATAATAGTATTTCTAAAAATGATTTTTGTGCACATAGTATATATTCTAGACATTACCGCCTATTTCTAGTTATTGAAGTGGTAGGCTTATAAACACAAGGAAATCAATGATGCAATGAATATTTTAAAACTACCTCCTGGATACTAGAAGAAAGAATAAAAGATAAACTTCAGTCAACATAGAACACAATTTTTGGCTTTTGATATCCAGTTTTACTTCAATACTTCACAAGAATGCTTTAGTTAAACAAGATTATACAAAAATTATACAACTATTACTTTCAATGGCTCTTTAAGATATTTAAAAAAAAAGTATTACTTATTGTTCCAAGTTTTCTACAGTATACTTAAATTGGTATCATTTTTTGCTTATAAGTATTAATTCCACCATTTTTACCTGTTATATTTGTTCCTACCTTTTATTTCAAATACAATCCTTAAGCCCATATTTTACTCTTATAATTGTCTCTGTTATTAAACCCCATACAAAGGTCCCTTCTCTGCAAACTATTCTCTGAATTTTTCCCAGAAGAATTCACCATTCTTTCCTCATTAATTTGTCAGTAGCTTTATATTGACTTTATGACATTATACCATGTATAATATTTGAGTTCTTGTTTCATTTCCTATGTCAGACTATAAGCCTTGTACTTTGCTTTATTCCTTTTGTTGTTGTTACACAGGCTTTTGAATTGAACTCATTCCATAACTGTTAGCATAAGACCCAGGGTCACTCCAGAACCCCCAAACTTGTATTCTCTAAAGAGAACCTGCCATCTGTGTGCACAAAAACAAACCACTCTTAGTGTGAAATAACTACCATAATGCATAGAGAGAGAAGTGAAGAAATAAGTTTCCAAAACAGCCCATGTTTTGATCCCCCTTGTGGGCAAATAGAATGCCCAGTCAGTCAGGGTCAGCCTCAAGAGCAGCCACTGAAGAGCTTCTAGGGGGGGATTATAGGAGTAGGGTTCTGAAGCAGGTCCCAGAAAACTGGGTTTAAAGGAAACAGCACATTAAGATAACAGCTGCCATTGTCAGTGTCTCCACATTTCTCAAGCACATGTCTTTCTAAATGTCTCTACACATCTGTCGTCCATGAATTTCCCAAATCTCTGATGCAAGTACAAATGAAGAAGCAAGCATGCCTTTCTTCTTCATGTGTCTCTGAATTCACCTTCTTCCAGGCTTTAGAACTTCACCTGACTGCTTAGCTCCGCCCATCACTAGGTGTTAGCATAAAACCAAGGGGCACACCCCCTGGTACATCCCCCTCATTCTGCTCTTTCCTTAATCAGGATTATCTTTCTTTCCATATATCCAACCCTTATCTCTCTCTATTTTTTTTTTTTGGCAGTGTTAATACTTAAATCAAATTTGGAAAATGTTCTCTTATTATTGCTTTAACTAAATTTTGCTGCCCTCTTCATGTGGGATTGCAAATAGGTGTGTGTCAAGCTATCCGAAGCTGTCCTTACACTCACTAATTGTTTTATTTTTTTTACATATTTGTCCTATGTGCTTTATTTTGGATAGTTTATGCTTCCCACCTCAATTTACCCTTTAGTCAGAACACTGATCTGATTTCTTTCCTATCTTTAGTAATAACTTTCCTTTGTTACCCAATGGCTCTTGATTCAGAAACTTCTACTTCTTGTTTTAGCCAAATTTTTAGTTGTTTCTCATGACAAGGTAAATCTCACTTATGTTACTCCATTCATGATGGAGTTAGAAATTCTTACATAAAATTCAGATTTTATGTTTAGTAAACATTTTATAATCTTTTTGAATTTGTTCAATTATATAGGTATATATTTTTTAGTTTATATTGATTTTAATGTAAGTGAACATATGTACTCTATTAACATTATGAGATTTTTTATCTACTAAAAATAGCATATTTTGTTCACATATTAGTTTGAACACTTTTCTCAATTTGTTGTTTTACATTATTTAAAAAACTGAAGTTGTAAAGTTTTTCCTGGTCTTTTAACAAAACCTTTCAAACACTTTCCAAGGTGATTTAATCCTTTGTACTAATTGCTTAATTGTCACATAACTATAAAAATATGTTTTCTTTATGTTTTTGAGTGGGTCAGAAAGGAGTACACAACATATGTAATACATGATGAGGATTTAGTTGTTTGATTTCAAAGTTTGTCAGTTTAACCAACAAAGTCAACCCTAACACTTTTGATTAGTGATACAAACTAAATGATAAGTTTTCAAATGTCCCTGCTGCTAGCCTTTCTTATACTAGTCATGTAGTCTTTAATTATAATAATATGTTTAATGATAATATATTTTGATATTTTTGAAAACAGATTTCCCCACTTCTTTTTTTCTGTTTCAAAATCTTTTTATTTTGTCTACATTGTCAAATTCTCCCAAAATATTTTCAATTAGATTTTATTAAAACAATTTTATATTTATTTGAAATTTTAAAACTTCTTAAGATGTAGCTTTCAGCTGAGTCATATATTTTTTTATTTAGTTCTTTTATAACTTTCAGTAGAATTTTACTTATGTAGCTCAGTTGTTTTTTTTTTTCTGCTATATTTCTAGGTATTGTCTGTTATTATTGTACCTTAGTTTTGGTTGTGAATAGTGTGTTCTAACCTAGGTTGCTAGAATAATGGTACAAAAGCAATATTAGCATAGATAGCTTTTAACTCACCACCTGCTACTCAATAGTTATTGATATGATTGCCAGCATCACAAGGAATAAAATTAATTTATTTCCTAAATATTTATTGAATTTTTTTTGTATAACTTGTACCTTTTGAGGTTCTGGAAATATAGCAATCACAGATAATATATTTCTCTTAAGAATAAACTTCTGCATTGAGGATAGATAGATTAAAGACAAAAAAATAAATATATGAAATGTTGAATATTAGTAGTATAATTCAGAGGGACCAAGGGACCAAGATGAAAAAGATGTGATTTTTAATCAGAAGACAAAATATAATTTTATAAGTAATGCTAAAATATTTGAAATTGAAATTAAAAAAATTATGATGAATGGAAAAATCTGATCACCAAATC